AAAATCTCACTGGAACCACCCAGAACCTCACCGGGTTCTCCCAACTCAATGCAACGACCCAACAACTCAACGCAACGGTCGAAAATCTTACCGGGACCACCCAGAACCTCACCAGGACGTTCCAACTGAACCCAACCACCGACAATCTCACCGGAACCACCCAGAACCTCACCGGGACCTTCCAACTCAACCCAACTGCTGAAAATCTCACCGGAACCACCCAGAACCTCACCAGGACCACCCAGAACCTCACCGGAACCTCCCAACTCAACACAACGACCCAACAACTCAACGCAACCGCCGAAAATCTCACCAGGACCACCCAGAACCTCACCGGGACCTTCCAACTCACCCCAACTGCCGAAAATCTCACCGGAACCACCCAGAACCTCACCGGAACCACTCAGAACCTCACCGGGACCACCCAGAACCTCACCGGAACCTCCCAACTCAACACAACGACCCAACAACTCAACGCAACCGCCGAAAATCTCACCAGGACCACCCAGAACCTCACCGGAACCTCCCAACTCAACACAACGACCCAACAACTCAACGCAACCGCCGAAAATCTCACCAGGACCACCCAGAACCTCACCGGGACCTTCCAACTCAACCCAACCGCCGAAAATCTCACCGGAACCACCCAAAATCTCACTGGAACCACCCAGAACCTCACCGGGACCTTCCAACTCAACCCAACAACCCAACAGCTCAACGCAACCGCCGAAAATCTCACCGGGACCACCCAAAATCTCACCGGGACAACCCAGAACCTCACCGGGACCACCCAGAACCTCACCAGGACCTCCCAACTCAACCCAACGACCCAACACCTCAACACCGGCACCCAAGACCTCACCGGGACCTTCCAACTCAACCCAACCGCCGAAAATCTCACCGGGACCACCCAGAACCTCACCAGGACCTCCCAAAATCTCACCAGGACCTTCCAACTCAACCCAACAACCCAACAACTCAACCCAACCGCCGAAAATCTCACCGGAACCTCCCAGAACCTCACCGGGACCACCCAGAACCTTGCCAGGACCTTCCAACTCAACACAATCACCCAAAATCTCACCGGGACCACCCAAAATCTCACCGGGACCACCCAAAATCTCACCGGGACCACCCAAAATCTCACCGGGACCACCCAAAATCTCACCGGGACCACCCAAAATCTCACCGGGACCACCCAGAACCTCACCAGGACCACCCAGAACCTCACCGGAACCACCCAACTCAACGCAACGACCCAACACCTCAACGCTGGCACCCAAGACCTCACCGGGACCTTCCAACTCAACCCAACTGCTGAAAATCTCACCGGGACCATCCAGAATCTCACCGGGACCACCCAGAACCTCGCCAGGACCTTCCAACTCAACCCAACCGCCGAAAATCTCACTGGAACCACCCAGAACCTCACCGGGTTCTCCCAACTCAATGCAACGACCCAACAACTCAACGCAACGGTCGAAAATCTTACCGGGACCACCCAGAACCTCACCAGGACGTTCCAACTGAACCCAACCACCGACAATCTCACCGGAACCACCCAGAACCTCACCGGGACCTTCCAACTCAACCCAACCGCCGAAAATCTCACCGGGACCACCCAGAACCTCACCAGGACCTCCCAAAATCTCACCAGGACCTTCCAACTCAACCCAACAACCCAACAACTCAACCCAACCGCCGAAAATCTCACCGGAACCACCCAAAATCTCACCGGAACCACCCAGGACCACCCAGAACCTCACCAGGACCTTCCAACACAACCCAACTGCCGAAAATCTCACCGGGACCACTCAGAACCTCGCCAGGACCTTCCAACTCAACCCAACTGCCGAAAATCTCACCGGGACCACCCAGAACCTCACCGGGACCTTCCAACTCAATGCAACCGCCGAAAATCTCACCGGAACCACCCAAAATCTCACCAGAACCACCCAAAATCTCACTGGAACCACCCAGAACCTCACCGGAACCACCCAAAACCTCACCGAACCTCTCACCGCGCCCACCCACCACCTCACCGCCTTCCCCAAACTCTTCCTTGTCAAACCCACCGAAGGAAGATCCAAAACCGCCGACGAAAACACGCCGCCCGGCAAATCCGTCGCCGCCGCGTCTTGGAGGTTTTTCACCGGCCGCATCGAAACGTCGCCGATTTTTTTCGACACCCCGTCTTCGGAAACGTCTAAACTTCAAGAATTGGTGGAAAAAATCGATCCGGCGTCGGCGTCGTCACCGGATCTTCCCGTTCGTCACCAATGTCCCGTTTGCCGGCGGATTTTGAGTTGCCCGCGAGCTTTACGGTTTCATTTCGGTCAACACGGGGGAAAAATTTGGGGCGTTTCGGCGGAAAAACTTTTTCGGTGTCAAATTTGCGGGAGAAATTTTCCAAGCCGGGGGAATTTACGGCTTCATTTCGGGGTTCATCGGGGGGTTCCCCCCAATTTTTTGGCGCCGAAAAAATTCTTTCTCGACGCTTTTCAATTCCGCTTCCGTTTCGGGGGGCAATTTATTCCTCAAGGAGGGGTGGTTCTTCCTTCTCCAATCGGGGGGACACCCCAAATTTTAGGGAATTTTTGCCGACGTGAGGGAACCCCCAAAATTTTAGGGAACCCCCAAAATGAAGAAATTTCCGACAAGGAAGAGGATGATTCCGAAGAGTCCAAGGGGGGGGACCCCGAAATGGAAGAAGAGGAGGATGAGGAAGAAGAGGGAGGGGGTAAAGGGGGTGAGGAGCCCCCCGAAAAGACGGGGGACCCCAAAATGATGGGGGGGTCCCCGAAAA